AGACGCATACCAGTAGAGTAAGTTAAATGTCGTGTTTCTTACCTTAATAGTTGCATATTTTAATGAGTATTCTCTCAGTACATATGTCCTCTGATATCTACAAAAGACATTGAATGACCAGTTTGCATGATTAGTTCCCAAGGCAAAAATGCATCATTTTAATGAAATTAATTAATTGGAATTAAAGATAAACACAGATCAAATAAAAATAATATGAAAGTATTTTACTAAAATATTCTAAAATTTTTTGCTCACCCTGCGATTTGGTCATTAACAAACCATGGTTCCCATTGCTTCTCTACCGGGAGATTAAGATTACTAATCCACTTCTCTGTGCCCACATGTGGAAATGTCATGTCATGATCACCACTGTGCATTTGAATTTTTCAAGAAAGACACATATAAGATATATATATAGCAATTACCAAAACAAAAACATTATATATATATATATATATATAATATTATATATATATATATATATATAATAATATATATATATATATATATATATGTGTGTGTGTGTGTGTGTGTATGTGTGTGTGAGTGTTTTCGAGAAAGATTAAAAACAAAAATGGCCATTGATTTATTAAATCAATGGTCATTAGAAGGCAACGTGGTGTTTATAATATTTAGAAAAATAATGACATTTTTAAAAGGATTTACTTTAATTCTGTTGCTATTAAATTTTTTTAAGTAGAACCTCCTATATAAATAAATATACAAAAGTAACCTTTTTGTAATAATGAAACGAGAATATTATCTTTCTAAAGTATGAGTATTACCATATGATCAAATATTTGCATTTCTTGGCAAGAAGTTGTTTGTGGGTGGGGATAGTAGTGAACACATCGTATGAGTAACATTCTGTGTCCTTTTTCCCCATATCGTAATGAATACTATCGTTTTTAATCACCCAATTTTCTATTGTTCCCTGTATATATAAAGAAAGTCATTTAAGATTGTTGAAGTAATAGCATGTTTTGTGTGAATGAGTTGTAACACAAAGTAAGATCAAATCTAGCAGTTTGCATGTGAATGAGTTGTATATATATATCCTGGGGACATATACACAATGTTTTAAAAACTCGGTTTTTAGTTGAACCGGTATGTTGACCGGTTCCCGGTTCAACTGCCGAGTGAACCGGTTTCTATATTTTTCATGTTTTTTTTTCTATTTTCCTACACATACATACATATATAAATTATGAATTTGATATTTACAAGTTCAAACATTAAAAATACACATAAAAATAAGTTGTAAATGAATTAAAATATAATAAAATAACACATAACCATAAGTTTTAGTGTTTTACATCAATCCATATATGCTAAAAAGAAAATAAAATATAATACTGAAACCAAATATAGTTTTAGATGAATACAACCACATCAAAAAACTTTATAACATTTACCATATGTTTTTATTTAGAGAAAACTAAATAGATTTGTAAAAAAACCATCAAAACTTATTATGTAAATAATTCTTTTTCATGTGTTTTTATTCGGATTAACTGGTTCAACCGGGTTTTTCTAAAAACCGGCCGGTTCAATCCGGTTCAGAAATCAATGTAAAACCGGTGATAGTTGAACCGCTCCCTCCCCCGGTTCCCGGTACGACCGGCCGGTTCAAACCGGTTTTTAAAACATTACATATACATATATACATAGATATATACACATACGATTATATATAACATACCTCACGAACATGGAGAGCTTTCTGAACTTCCTTTTTGTTTGCCCAGATTCCTATAAATACATACCTAGCTTCCTAAACAAAGAAAAAATAACGGTAAAGTCAATAAAAGAATCATATATGGGAAAACTATGTGTTGATTTGAGTATTTGAAAAAGAAAAATTACTCGACAAGTTGGGTCCGTGTATGTTGTATCACACATTGGATCTAATATGTTCTCTAAGTTGATCTTGCTTGTGGCCTAAAAATGGAATTTTGAATTAAACTTGTGCTACATAAACTTGTATAAGATCTTACAAAATGATATTTGTATACCTCTTCCACCTGTTGGAGATTATTCCAGCAAAGGACATTGTCTACATCATTGGAGATATAGTTACCTTTACATGTTTGTTTTGTAGACTGAAATATGAAACAAATATAATCAAATGACAAAATAAATAGTGGTTACCTTGAGAAATAGATGGTCATATTTTGGTATTAATATTTTTCATTACCTCATAAATATCGGTTGATATTAGTGATAGCCGATAAGCAAACTCAAATCTTGAATTAAAATCATTGAACTTATCAGTTAAAGGGGAAACGCTAATGACTCCCTATATAATGCAAAAAAAAAAACATTAGTTAATATGACATTCTATATTTCCTTTTATATAATAATATTTGTAAATAACGTTATAAAGTTTGCATATTACTTTCATATTTAGTTGTGGTTGATTTCCACGTTCATTGCCTACAAAGTACCCGACATCACAAACATAATGTTAGAAAAATCAAGCCTTTTGGCAATTAACAACTATGAAATTAATGATAAAATCTAACGCACAATAGGAGTACATGTAATAAATAAACAAATGAATAAACGTATATAAGAAATTGTTATTCATTTTTCTGGATTATCTAGTTCTCATTTTAATAAAACGGTCTTGGTGTAACACAATCAAAAAATTCGAATATCCAAACCATATAGTCCAAACAAATTGTCCAATACAACAAATGTTAGTTTTTGTTATTCTTCTCTCTTTCTAAAATAATCTTTTTCCTTTTAAAAGAATTCCAATTTAGGCAACTTATGACCAATTATATTACACTCAAAGAGAAGTGGAAATGAGTAAACTCATCATCATGATCAACAAGAGCAACCCCTAAAAATTGAAAACCATAGTTAGAGATATTACCTTTATATACATTTAAAGCGACATTTGGTATGATAATCCCCATGTATGAAATCCCTGATACGTAAAACGGATTGCTGAGAAACCTAGGGTGATCCGTAAACCACTGTATAATTAACATGTAAAACAAAATAAATTTCAAATTAAATAAGACAATATAATAATAAATTAATAGAAGTTATTACAAAACCTTTCGTAAAAAATCATAAGCATATGAAGCTAGAAGGGAATCACTGCAAATCGTTCCTTCGTATGTCGTTGAATATGAGAACCCTGCTCCCGCTGGTGCATCTATGAATAACATATTCGCAACCTACAAAATTACAAGATTAATTGTATGTAAAAAAACGTTCATGTAGAACATAAAATCCATAGGATTATAACATTAATTTTTAGAAAAATGTTTCGGGTGAGAGAATGTGAACCTTATTCCATGGATATGGATTCAACTTCAATGTAATGTTATCCTCCGTTGAAGTTTCCAAATTGAAATTGAGTGGACCTACAAAAGAAAATTGGTTAGTTAATTTTAATGAATTGTGGGTAAATAAATTCTGATATGTTTGGTCAAAAATGCTAAAATTCAATTTGGTATTACTTATTAAAGTAACTTAATAATAGACTTCAATGCCTTTAAATTTGGAAACAAATGTCCTTAAAGTACGATTTAATTTTGCATGTTTGGTAAAAAAATGCTAAAATTCAAAACCATGCTAAAATTAAAAATAATTAACAATCATAACCAATAAATATATCACGTGATTGACACAAAACTCGGATCAAACCACTAAATTAATGTAAGTGTACTTTTTGAAAAGTTAACAAATTTGTTCCTCATCTAATAAATGTTATCCAGACAAAAAATTCATCGAACATTAATGATCTCATATGTTAGCAACAAACTGAAAAATTAGTCTTGAAATTAGATTCTTGTAACCATGAACATGAGGAACGTAGTGATATAGTTTAGGAGACAAGATCACACTCCGGTGAAGTCAACGCCGGTGGAAGCTAGGTTTCCGGCGAGGGTTTCTTGGAAGGTGGATCTGTGTTGCGATGTGAACAACAACAGAAACAGCGTCGACGAAGATTTTAGAAGCTCCGGCGAAGTCACTGCCGGAGATTGTTTATTCTAGTGTGTGTGTATGTGTAATTAATATGGTTGGTTTTTGCAATAGATAAATAAATTGAATGCAGACAAGAATTATAGTTACAAGATTACCTATTTGATACATCATGGAGTAAAGTACAGAAGTGCCGGGCCCACCGGTGAGGTAAAGAAGAAGAGGGTCTTCCGATGGGTTTCTTTCAGACTCAACGAAATAGTAAAAGATCTGAACTGCTTCATCTTTGCCAACTCCAATGTATCTTTCGAGAGAACAAGAGTAATTAATTTAAGAGTTGTCTGAAACAGTTAAGACAATGAAAACGGAGACATACCCGGTTTCCAGACTGAAAGGAAGATCACCATCAAAACCGGGGAGTCTCTTGATGATTGACTTTGAGTTTGATGCGCTTATGGAAAGTGCAAAGATTATCAGAAGGGAAACGAGAGTGTGTTTTGATTCCATATCGAGAGTTGTCTCTGCGTAAGTAGTAGGTGTAACGTGTTTATGTAGACATGTGTAATAAGTAGGTGTAAGTGTGGATATGTGGAGATGTGATGTGCCATCGTGGTTTGGTGTGCAAAAAGAGGAGAGATGGGATCGTTTGTGTAATTTTGTAAGCTCGTCATCTCCAAACAATTTTCATTTTAACTTATATAAATTATTAAATTATTAATAATTTATATAAGTTAAATTATTAAATACGTATCTTCTAACTTATACAAATTATTAACTTATATAGAGATGGGATCGTTTGTGTAATTTCATTCTTTTAATGTATATAAATTATTAAATACATCTCTTCTATTAATTTGGTTTTAACAAATATATAGTTTATATTTTTTTTTTCATAACATTAATATTAAATAAATAATATTATATTTATAATACGTAATTATAAGCTTTTGTAAAATACGTAATTATGTTTTAAAATTTTCAATATATATTTAAATTTTAATATGAATTTGATACACAAAAAAAAAATTTATATTTATAATTAATTAATATGATTTAATATATAACACAATATTATAAGTATTAAATATTACATTTAAATAATAATTAGTAAGCAAAAAAACCAAAAATGTATAAATATGTAAAATGAGATTCTAAAACCAACAATTCAAATTACATCCCCATTTTGGAGTAAATGAATAGTATAACACCATATTTTGTGTTATACTATTCATTTCCCTCAAAATGGGAAAAAATGTGGTAGGGTTGGAGAGGATTGAGAGAAGAAATAAAGGAAATTATAGAGAATGACAGTAGGTTGGAGATGGTCTTAGATCGATCGTTGACCAACAAACGGGATACTCGAGTGTTTGATCACAAAAGCGTTATTCAAAAAAATATATATTTAGTGTAGTTTGGAAAATATTTATAAGCAATGTTTTTTTTATTAGGCATCAGATCTGTGAAAATTAAATTTCTATTAAATCAAAAATTAATTGATTATAAGGCTAAAATGAGTGATAATACTCCTAGCATCTTGATATATCATTTTTTTGAATGTCACATCATTTTTTGTCTTAACATATAATTCTTAAAATTTTATAATGAGTGGTAACACTCTTAGCATTCTTTTTTTTTTTTACTTTTTCAATTTTAATTAAGTTTTATTTTTTTAATACGCAAACATTCAATATTACATAAATTCTATTTTTTTTAATACACAAACATTTAATATTACATAAAATTTATTTTATTTAAAAGACAACACTTAATATTTAAATAGAAAATTTTAAGTTAATTTAAAACATAATACTAAATTAAAAGGTTTCTATTTTTGAACAAAAAGTACCAAGTTGCTTATACTTTGGGACAAAAAAACCATTGTTGAAACTTTGGGAACTAGTTATGTAAATTCTTTATCTTCTTTCTCAATTATCTATTTAAAATGCAGCAAATTTCATCTAAAAGCTTTCGACACTTCCTAACCGCCAAAAATGAAAGGATTTTCCAATATCAATTCAACCAATCAGGATAGTTTATTTCTTTCTCTCACTTCTCGTCATGCATATAATGAATAAATTGTAGCGGCCTCCCTAGCGAGTGTTAGGGGTGGTGTGCTCCATCCTTAGCGTCTTTTTAGCAAGTGAGGTAACAATCCCACTCCGTTTAGCTTAATGAATTATATTAAATTTATGTTTAGCCTAATGAATTATATTAAATTTATCAATTATAGAGTCATTTAAATTTTGTTTCGGATTGTAGTTATTCTTATTTTATCAAAACTATTTAAGAGATTGTACTTAAACTTCAAATGACTTTTGATCCATATATATTGACTTCTATGATTTAACTTAATGTTTGACTTTAAAACACCAATCAATGTGTCAAGAAATTGGTGTATGTTTAGTAATTATATGGTAAACTATAATACAATATAAGAAACATGGTATTATTTTGGAAAGTATATATTCGAATAGTTTAGAATTTGAGGTGACACAATCAAAATCGGATGCGTATTTATGATATCATATTAAAAAAATGTATATATAGCATTTACAATTTGTATTTTCGAAATTAATAGAACAAATACAGTAATTAATTAATTAATCTTATTTAGTACAAAGCAACTACAAAATGACATGTAGAATTAATTTATAAAAAAAAAAAAAAACTCACAAAATTACATGTGGTAAAAAATTTTAGAATTAGATAAGTGGCAAAAAAACCTTAAGAGGATTCTTAATTTTTCTTACTTATATTTATTTATTTTAAATATCCATTTTTTTACTTTGAATTTTTATTTCAATTTTTTAGTATCTTTCTTACTTTTGTAAATATCAGTGTTTTTTTTCTTACAAATTTTTTTAGCGTATTTAAATGTACATTTAAAATATATGCTTTGACATTAAGGTTTTAAAAATCCCACCATAGACCATACCGACTGACATATCAAATCGTTCAATTGGTCTAACCGGTTGGATCGATCTCAAAAACTGAAAAAAAAAAAATAGATAATATCATAATTACATTATTATTAATTTTAATTATATAAAAAATACAAAAAATGAAAAAAAAAAAAATTGGAATATCTTTTTTAACCGGTTTAACCCGTTTTCATTGGTTCACATTGATAAATTGTTTTTAGGTTTCTAAGAACCTGTTTTCAAAACATGGGACAATATTTATACAAATTATTCAAATCATTTTCAACATCAAATTTTAGTCATCTAAAACTAAAATTGTCATTATACATTTGAGTTCTTCCTACTTCTTAATAAAGCCTATTGGTCACAACCCATGTTTTGAAAACCGGACCGGACCGGCCGGATCGACCGGTTCAACCGGGAACCGGTCCCGGATCCGGTTCTTAAATGCCAAAAAACCGGTATTCATTTGAACCGGTGAAAACCAGTAAAAACCGGTTGAACCGGCAAAACCGGTCAAAACCGGAAATTTAAAAAAAATTATTTTTTTTTTATTTTTTGTATTTTTATATAATTAAATATAATTATGACATCATCCGGTTTTCCCGGTTTTTGAGACCGGTCTGACCGGTTGGACCATCTGAACCATCGAACCGGTAAGACGACCGGTGTGACAACCGTCAAATTTCGATCAAGTCAAAGTCAACTAAAGTCAGCAAGTCAAACCGTTTGACTCAATTTGCCCATGAGTACTAAAATTCACACTATGAAACTTCTACATAACTTCTATTCTAATGAGAAATCATAAAACAAAAAGTGCGAACATCTAGATCTCCTTAACCAAAAATTGTAGTACGTGGCGAGCCAAACCGATAAAACAATGATGCATACTCATCGGGAGTGTGTAAGATCCTTAAACAAGGCTTAACAGGGTTTACGAACCATGCATTGCGATGCCGGACACTCACAGTTGTCACACATGAATCCTCTCTCAATCGTTTTCACTATATCTCTCTCTCTATGTCAAATCTCTCCCAAATCTCTCCAAGTGTGTGAAATCTCTCTCAAATATCTCTCTGTATTAGAAATCTCTCCAAGAATGTCGAATCTCTCCCAAATCCCTCTAAGTATGTGAAATCTCTCTCAAATATCTCTCTGTATTAGAAATCTCTCCAAGAATGTCGAATCTCTCCCAAATCCCTCTAAGTATGTGAAATCTCTCTCAAATATCTCTCTGTATGAGAAATCTCTCCAAGAATGTCAAATCTCTCCCAAATCTCTCCAAGTATGTGAAATCTCTCTCAAATATCTCTCTGTATGAGAAATCTCTCCAAGAATGTCAAATCTCTCCAAGTATGTGAAAACTCTCGCAAATATCTCTGTGTATGAGAAATCTCTCCAAGAATGTCAAATCTCTCCCAAATCTCTCCAAGTGTGAGAAATCTCTCCCAAATCTCTCTCAAAAGTTTCCCGTAACTTTTTGGAATCATTCGGGTCATTCCGACCCTTAACCGGGTCAAAAACGGCTTAAAACGGGGTAAAAACGAGAAAACGGGACCTTAAGAACCGAAACCCTTCTTAAGGAGCCGAAGCTCCTTAAGGCCGAGATTAAACACCGAAGACCGAGCCTCTGTTGGCTAAGAAACCGGAGACCGAGCCTCTGTTGGCTAAGACACCGAACACCGAGCCTCTGTTGGCTAAGACGCGAGGACCGAGCCTCTGTTGGCTAAGACGCGCGAGGACCGAGCCTCTGTTGGCTAAGACGTGCGAGGACCGAGCCTCTGTTGGCTGTGGCACGCGAGGACTGAGCCTCTGCCTCTGTCGCTTCTCGTTCTGCTTCTTTTCTCGCTCTGTCTCTACCGCCTCTCTGTCTCTTCCCTACTCTCGGTCTCTGCCCGCCTCTCTGTCTCTTCTCTCCTCTCTGTCTCTACTTCGCGCCCCTCTGTTCTCCTCCCTCCTCTCGGTTCCTTCCCTTCTCTCTTCTTCCCTCTTGGTTCTGCCTCCCTCTCTCTCTCTCGGTTCAGCACCAGAAGGCCGAACCTCGGCCAAACTTTGGGAAATTGTCACTTTTAGCCCATTTTTGATATTTTTAACATTTTAAGCCCGTTTTTCATGATTTTAAAGCGGGATTTTCTCCAGAAATTATATTTTAACATAATAAACTCTAAATATTCATAATTTAAACATATTTTGATGAAAATCATTATTTAAATAATAAAAATCAAGTGGGTGAATTATTAAAGGTGGAGTGTTGACTTTGCCTTATCCAATGTCACAAGCAACCACCCCACACCCACTCTTTGACTAACCACACCTCCCCACCTTACCTAGGTCACTTCAATGTCCCTCACACCCAATTTACACTCATTCCCACGTTTTTGAGCTGGAACAAACATCCTCTCTCCTCATTTCTCTCATTTTCTCCCATTTCACTAAGTATCAAACACCACTTTTCTCTCAAACTTTTTCTCCACCAAACTCGAGATTCAAGGCTGATTATCAAGTGTTCTTCCACTCTTAGTAAGTATAATTCATCCTCCTTATGATTATCTCACTTATTTCCACTCAAATCATGGATATCTTACACAAACTCCATCATATTAGCGTTAGAGCTTCGAATCTTCAAGTGATTCTTCAAGTGTTCTTGGGTTGAACACTTCTCTTCTTCAACACTTATCTACTGAAATCACTCAAGGTGAGTTCATACCCCTACATTTTTATGTTTTCTCAAGTTTTCAGGG